TGGCTCGGCGGTTAAGAGCACTGACTGCTCTTGCAGAGGACGTGGGTTCGATTCCCAACACCCACATGGTGGCTAACAACCACCGTTAACTCCAGTTCCGGGGGAATACGACACTGCCTTCTGACCTCCACAGGCGTTGCGTGACACAGGTGCACTCACATACATGCAGGCAATACACTCATACACATAACATTAAAAAATATTTTTTAAAAAGTGTTCTGTATGAAAAAAAAAACAAAAAAAAAACAAGTATCTTCTTGAAGTCCCTCAAATTAAGGTAAAGAATAAGAACAAATCATTTTGGAAGAACGCAAAGGAAAATAGCTTTAGATACTTAAGTGACAATTGAATTTATTCTTATAATTGTTTTAATAGCTTTTGTATAATCTTCATCGCTATTATGAGATATAAAATGTATTTATCAAATCTGTAATCATTATGCCAAAAAATCTGAATTACTGTAATATTTTGTATATTGTTAAAACTGTAACTTTAATTGTAAAAAAAAGTGTCTGTGGTTTTCTTTGTTTTGTTTCTATAAAGACTAGAAGAAACCTTTACCATCTTGGAATGTGAAGTTTGTAGTAACCTGAATCTGTGTTCCCTCTCGGATTCCTGTCTCTTTCTGAACTGAAATCTGCCATCTTCTGTCTTTCTTCCTTCTGAGGCAGAAACTGACTTTAAGACAGCACCTAGTACTCAGATCCATCCTTGACACATTGAGTGACACTCAGGAAATAACAATTGAATGCTAAAAGACACAGGTGACAGTAAGTACTGAATAAGTGAATGCTAATTAAAAAGGTAGGTTTTGTTCTCACTGAGGACACTGAAAAGAGTCTATACTTAATTTCGCACTGCCATTGTTCTATATAAGAATTCTATATAAGAATTCCAAGCCACAGCAGCATTATTTTCGTAAGAGTAACCCAGAGTGATGACTGTAAAATAGATTTGCACATCTAATTTCTGGTATTGCTGTTTTGGTTGAATGCCATTTTTAAAAAATTTTATTTATTATTTTTATTTTATGTGCATGAGTATATCGCCTGCATGTGTGTAAGTGCACCCGTGCCATGCAATGTCTGTGGAGGTCAGAAGAAGGAACTGGAACTGGAGCTACAGATGGTTGTTAACCACCACATGGGTGCTGGGAATCAAACCCGGGTCCTCAGCTAGAGCAGCCAGTGCTCTTAACTGCTGAGCCACCTCTCCAGCCCCAAATGCATTTCTTTATTGCCATCTCTGTCGCTTCAATTTCAGAGACAGGCTGAGATCCAGAGCAAAGTGATCAATATTAAGGGAACACGACAGCTGAACAGATAGGTCCAAGGGCAGACAAGCATACAAGCCAGCAGGGCAACCATTTCCCAGCAACAATTCTTTTTGTCTTCTTTTTTATTTTTGGTCTTTTTGAGACAGGGTCACCCTATAGCCCCCAAGCTGGCCTGGAACTCACTATGTAGACCTGGCTGGCCTCGATCTCACAGAGATCCACCTGCCTCTGCCTCTGCCTCCTGAGTGCTGTGATTAAGACATGTGCCACCACACCTGGTTGTCTTCCTTTTTTATTCATTTATATTATTATTTTATGTGTATGTGTTTTGCCTGCATGATATATGTAAGTGTGCATACAATGCCTGCAGAGGTCAGAAGAGGGCATCAGGTCCCCTAGAACTAGAGTTACAAAAGGTTGTTAGCTACCATGTAGATGCTGGGAATCAAACTAGGGTCCTCTGTAAGAATAGCAAATGCACTTAACAGCTGAGCCATCTCTCTAGTCCCATATTTTTTATTTTTAATTTTGTGTGTGTTTGTGTGTGTGTGGGGAGGGATGCATACAAGTTCAGCTCCCCATATAGGCCAGAGACATTGATCATTCCTCTAGAGTTGGCATACAGGCAGTTGTGAGTTTCCCACAGTAGGTGCTGGGAATTAAACTCAGGCCCCCTGCAAGAGCAGTTTGAGCTCTTTACTGTTGAACCAGCTCTCCAGACTTTGTTTTGGTTGTTTTGAGGTAGGGTCTTTACTATGTGGCCCAGGCTAACTCATAATCTTCCTGCCTCAGCCGCTCCTGTGCTAGGATCACAGATGTGCACAACCAAGGCTGTTCTCAGAAACTCTCAAGTTTGAAGAAGTTGGCAAATGCAGCCACAAACTCTAATTGCAAGAGTGATATCAGGCTGGGCCTGGTGGTGAAGGCCTTTAATCCCAGCACTTGGAGGCATAGGGAGGCAGATCGCTGTGAGATTGAGGCCAGTCTAGTCTTCATAGCAAGTCCAGACCAGCTGGGGCTACAGGGAGACCCTATCTCAAAAGACCAAAAATAAGCAAATAAATAAATAAATAAATAAATAAATAAATAAATAAATAATAAATAAATAAAGTGATATCAGAACCAAACAATTCTCTTTGGCTACAGAGACTATATATTTTCAGAGCATTTCTAAACTGTCCTAGAATAATTCAGTCAACCTGGGAAAGGTGTAAATATTGCATTACTATGCAAAATAGTCTTGATGATAGTCTTAGAGTTAAGTATTTGAATGTATATGATAATAAAACTGCATGATAATAAAAGATAGCAGAGTAATTAATGAATGAACTAATATACAGGCATAACCAGGTTCAGAAGCTTTAAGTCAGCTGGTCTTAAAGTAGGACAGGTGGGTTTCTGTCTGCAGTGCCTCACTTGAATCCTCACTGAGTAAAAGCATGCATCTGGCCCAGCAAATGTGTTGGATAGGAATAAAATTTTACCCAGATTACTACTGTCAGTATGGTGAGCAGGAAAGCCGGCATGGAAATTCAGTTGTTGATTCATTCTGTATTTATTGGGGCGTTTGTCCTGTAAGATTCTCTGCCAGATGCTGGAGGGAATGAGATGAGGGAACCAGAGAGGTGTTAATACATAGTGCCTGACTATCGAAAAGCAAACAGCCTGTTAGGGAAAGGAGTCAACCATTAATACGTGACTAAGTGGAAACAAGAGTGAATGACAGAGGCAACGGGTCCAAGAAAAGTCAGAAGGAAGAAGGAAACATGGAAAGAAGCCAGGATGGCCAGGATTAAGCTGTAGAAGGACTGAAACCTGAGTTGAACAGTTTTAAAAAAATAGACTGATTGGAGGGAGCGTGAGCAGGAGAGGACATTCTAGTTAATCCTAGAGCAAAGTGCAGCATCCGTTTAGCCCATTTAGCCCACGGGGGGCTTCTTTCTTACTGCATCGACTTTTTGCTTAAGTATTTTCTTTTAAATGTCCCTGTCTTTGATAAAAATGGGTGGTCACTGACGAGGACTACATACATATAGAAAATAAAATAAAGCCCAGATACCTACCTTCCTTATTTAAGGATCTCCCTTTTTATCCTAAATCAATTTGCTTGCTCAACATGGAAAGCAACTCTCTGTAATGGCAGTTTATATACGTGGGCATTTAACTGTATATAGCCACACCTTTGCTTACCTTATGCAAATGTAAGGAAAAAATACTACTGATTTCATAAGAACTCAGTCATTTAACCCTGTCTTTCATCAGACTTGTTCTCTATATGGAAGTGCTTCATGGGTTGGTTACTTTCAGGTTATAGAAAACTTATTTAAGCATACAAATATAGTATGATGACCTTTGCAGATTAAGGGTCAGGCCAGGCTTTGTTTAAACTTTGACAGCTTGCCCTCTGGGATTACATCATCTGCTCTGTTGGTTCAACCTTAGAGGCAGGCCCAAGCACCTTTCCAAATTTGGAAGCAGAGGTGTATTCCGTCAGCCTTGTTGAGGATAATGTTACAGTAACCTCAGCCAGGATGTTCAAACCTCGCTGAACCTGTATCATGGAAAGATTTCTAGGAGTTTGCGCTGTCTGCATTCTGTAAGAAAATAGCCTTGACCTGTGGCCACATGGCCAGGATCAGTGTTCATGGTACTGTCCACAGGAGTTCTGAAAGTCAAGGACAAAGTAATCCTGTTAACATCATGTGTTCATTTATAAAAAGAGCATAAATTCAAGTTATCTGAAGAAAACCCAATATACCGAAATAAAGAAAGAAGTATTTGACTAATGTCTAGGAGACAGTAGCATGGGAGTAGGAAATGAAACATGACAAAGAAGAAAGATAATTATGATGCTTTCAAACAGTGTCCAGGAAACAGGAGAATCTTCTTATTGCAGTCAGAAAATAATTATTCCAAAATTTAAGCTGCAGTATTAATTATTGAAATAAAAATAAACATAAAAATGACGATAGAAACATACAAGGCAATACTGTCCGTCAACTTCCATGAAAACTTTTCTCCATGAGAGACTAGTGCTCCTTAACTTAAGAGATGGTCAGCGATGCCAATGTCTTCATCCACGGGGAGATAGAAAATACATAGCAAAGATGATTTATTTTCCAAAACTACCCTATCTCCACAAAATGAAAAAAATAGAGCAGTATGTCAGTGAGTTTCCAATTCAGTAAGCAGCAACATGATGTTTGCTTAAGGTCTAACGTCAATTTTAACATGTCAGTATTTAAACCCACATTAATATAATCAACGCTATGAAGTATTAGTCAGTTCTATGAAGTGAGGAACTGCATAACACACAAACTTTCCAATTTTAAATAAAAATAATAAACAAAATATTTTAAAAACCACTGGGTAAATCAGATAATTTCCTAACAGATAAAAAGTAGGACCAACACCCTTCTTCCTGAGCATGCACAGTGGAACTTGAAAAGTAGCAGTTAATACGCTGATTTCTTGCCAAGTGCCAGTCATGTGTTTTGTGATGGCTGCTCTTCTTTTGGAAATGTGTGTGACAGCAACTTAGCCAAGTGCCATTTGTTATTATGCTGACTGAGTCTTGTCAATAAGATTCAGAAGAAGAACCGGAAACCACACCAGGGAAAGGCTAAGGCAGACGAATGCGGTGGGGCCACACAGCCATCACCTAGACCTCTTCCTGTTTCTAACCTTGCTGAGTTCAGTCTCACTCTCCCTCCCTCCCACTCACCTTTTGCTGGTCCAGTTCCCGCCTCTTTCTCTTTACTTGGTTCTGTGTGGAAAGTACAAGCACATTTTTTAAAGTGTCTTACAGCACTTTGTTTTGTGATGAGCAATGGAGTAGAGGGAGAGGAGGGAAGTAAACGACAATATTAATGATGCAGAGTACTTATTATGATGCACATTAATTAGGAATTTTGGAATTATAGTTTAGAGTCACTTTAACCTTTAATAAAAGCAGTTAATAAATATGGTTGTTTTAAAGATATATAAAAACATGCAATATACATTTTATTAAAATACACTTAGCTCTACCAGGATCATGTTATATTACATGCCAGAGTAGAATTGAGTAAAATATGTGAGTCACTTCATTTTAGACCTCAACCAGGGACATTTTAAGGAACTTTGGCCTATATAATGTGTTCTAATAGTATAGCTTCTAGATGGTGTAGGATCGTATAAAGTGTGGAATTATTGTTCAATGGATGTAGCTTCAAAGAAAATGTTTTGGGGTGCATGTGAATCTTTTGGATTGGTTTAGAGGCATAAATACAAAACAAGGCAGTGAGATCAGATTTTATCAATCATTTACTTTGTGTTTCTTCCTGTTCAGAATCATAAACTAAGTTTAGAGACTTGAAGACTCTAACTTGTGTATATGTAAGGAATAATAGTTAGAGCTGGAGAGATGGCTCAGCAGTTAAGAGTACTTGCTGCTCAATCATGAGGACCTGAGTTTGGATCCCAGCACCCACGTCAGGTAGTCCACAATGACTGTGACTCCAGCTCCAAGGGATCTGATGCCCTCTTCTGGCCTCTGCCTGTACCTCTATCTGCATACACACACATACACACACACACACACACACACACACACACACATATGCACACACGGATACACACATACAAGGCCAGCTTGGGATACATGAGATCTTGTTTTAAAACGACAGCAACGCCAAAAAAAGAAAAAAAAATTCAAAAGTTATTTCAAGAATGAATCCCTCCCCCGTCTCTCTATCTCTCTGTGTGTCTCTGTCTCTCTCTAACTTCTTTCTTTCTGTCCCCCCTTCCTTTCTTTTTTTCTTTCTTCTCTTTAACTAAAATCCAAATCTTCTCAGCTCACTAAGAAGGACTATTTTAGCACAGTTTGGGAAGAGCCATGGAAGCTCAGTATTGTACAATGAATCTGAAAATGGCAGAATAAGGGAAACTTTATAGTGCCCCAGTACAGCATCTGATCGGGAAAGGCTTAGCTGTCATGGTGAGTAGGTTCCCAGTGTGCTCAGTGATGGCCAAAGTAAGTCTTATGTGCGAGAAGAAAACATAGCAAGAAAGATCCCAAGAAAAATGCCACGCATCTGCTGTGGCTTCAAGGTTGACACCTGGAGAAAGCTCAATCTGAGTTTACCCGTTTGCCCTCCTATGGCACAGAGCCTGTTTCATTAATTTGACCATGCAGCAATATTTCATACTCTTTAAGGTTTTCAGTGAGTCTCATATTCTTAGCTAGACAAAGGGGCTTCTGTGAGCAGCTAGATTCCCCAAACTGCCTTCTGAAACACGATCTCCAGGATGGAAAAACGTCATGATCTTCATAAGTTTCCAGTTTTTAAAAAGGCCAGAAACTGAACCCTATTTAATTCTTACTTTCACTTTGGCAGAACCAGTCAGCAATGAGCTCCCAAACCCTGGCTTTGTACCACATTGTCAATGCAAGCAACCCACATTTAGCTGCACAGTGCCCTGGGAGGCTTTTTACGACATTGCTGACCATCTCAGTGTAGTGGCTGCACTGCATTTCATTGTCTTCCAGGCTGTATTTTATTTTCAACCTGACTACAAACAAACAGTATAGGACCACTTTGTCTTTCCATTTAGAGCTCCACACTGCATCTAGTACAGCATGTTCTAGCTTTTAAATAGTTGGCAGACAGCCCTGAATCCTTCTCCAGGGTTAGACCACCATCTAGAGTTGTGCATGTGGTAAATGCCCAGTGAGTGAGTGACTCTTGTAATGAATTGCCTCCTCTTTAGGAAGGAACGGTGATGAGAAAGAGCTTTTTGTTTTTGTTGTTTTCCCTTGGAGGATGGGGAGTCTTGTGGGAAAATGCACATGATTTTGGCTTCTTCTGTCTTGATAGGAACTGACGCACAAATGATTCCAGAGGGCTGCATTGAGCTTTTAACTGGTCATTCTTTCAATTCTGTTTTCTTCACTGAGTCTCTTACATATGGATGTAAAGCAGACTTTGTGTGTTGCTGGGTGTATGTAGATTTGCCAAGGATTTTGCCAGATCATTTTATTCATTGTTTGTTGTTGCGATAGCTACCTTATAGGCAACAGAATATTAATTCAATTAATTAGTTCTGATGTTAAGCCTTAGAAGTCTCAAGCTTTTCTAGAAACTCCCCAAGGAGTTCCTGGAGGTGCCCAGTGGTGAAAAAGTTAGGAAGGGGCTGCTAAGCTTCCAGGGCTGTGATGGGACCCACTTCCTACTGTTACAAGAAAGATGTAAACTTTGACTTTTACTAAATCAAGGAAAGTTCACAAATTCTTTGCCTCCATTAATATAAGTGAAGTATGGCAAGTTGTACATAACTGAAGGCCTTGAAAATGATCGTTCCAACAGTACATATGAAATGCTGTTCAAATTAGGTTAATATAAGAGGTATTATTTTTGTTATTCACTTATCACACTTGTCACCGTCCAGGGTCTCAGTAGTAGGTAGATTAAAGCTCACAGCATCCGTGGAGACCAGATCATGCTGGGATAGACTTCTATATTTGCAGCCCAAACGCATGAGGTGATATTTTTACTTACCTTCTGGGGGTGGAGCTGGGGCTGGTACTTCATTTTCTAGAAATGAAAAGGGTAACAGAAGCATTAGCCTCACTTCTCACAGGGAAGAGCTGCCTCGCTGTGGTTGCCATCTTACCTGTGTTTGTTTACAAAAGACCATCAGTGGTATCAAGAGGCCCAAGGCATGTTGCCTTTGGTTGTGTGGTATGAGCTGAGAACCTAATGGTCTCATATAGGTGGTGCAGGGAAGTGATGGAAAGAGCACAGGTGAGATGGGTATCCAGGTTTCCTACCATTCATCCAAGTCTGGGAGTGCTGGCACACACCTGTGATCCCAGTACTTGGGAGGTGGAAGCAAGAGAATCAGGAGTTCAAAGTCATCTTTGACTGCAAAGAGAGCTCAAGGCCAGCCTGGGCCATTTAAAATTCTATCACAAAAAGTAAAATAAAAATAAAAACTCATCCAAGCAGTTTGAGACTGGGCATTTAGTATTGTTAAGTTTGTTTCCCCACTCTGGAGAAATGGCCATCACTGATCTGACATGTATAGAGCTGTGGTGAGGATGAAGTGAGACCCAGGGAGTAGCAAATGTCCTCTGGGGCTTTGGGTGACGTGGGTTCAGAGACTGCCTTGCTCTGGAAAGTAAAGGCACTAAGGTAACTCCAGCAGGGTCCTCCCTCTGGAGGACACTTTCTGAATAATGATGAGAACAAAATCCTCTGGTTCATTGCAAGGCAAACTGTTGGTCATTGGGAAACAGAACCAACCCTTCTCGAGATGGTCTCTTCAAGTATATGGGCCTGGAGCAGATTTTCACCTACACTTAAAGTTTTCAAAGCGCTGGGTTTGATATTTTATACTTGGCTTTCATATCTGGTGTTATAGAACAGTGTAACTGTGAAGTCTGTTAGGAAACCTCTGTTAAAGAACAGAGCTTCTGCCGGGCGTGGTGGCACACACCTTTAATCCCGGCACTTGGGAGGCAGAGGCAGGCAGATCTCTATGAGTTCAAAACCAGCCTGGTCTACATAGTGAGTTCTAGGCCAGCTGGGGCTACAAGGAGACCATGTCTTAAAAAGACAAAAAAAAAAAAAAAAAAGAATATAGAGTTTCCAAGTAGCTACAGATATACCCCAGGGCCAAAGAGTGTAAAGCTGTCCCCAGAACTGGGTATTAGTCCTATGTCAGTGAGCCAGCAGCTTCAATTCCTTAACAGGGAGAGGCTGTTAATGAAGGCAATTTCATTTAAAATATTCCCACTTGATCATTAAATAAAATAAAAAGACAAGAAAGTTGAATTTTATGCACATTGTGGAATCCTAGGATCCTTATCTTTGTCAATGACTGGGATTTTTTTCCTCACGAGTGACTCTGAACAGGAAAAATTATGCCTTACCAGAAGTCAATTGATGTGGGGTCAACCCAGAACCCTATTTTTACCTAGATTGGGCTGGAATGATCTTAGAAAAATGAATGGATTGTGTCATGGCATGAGTCAGGAAATGAGCAATGTAGGACTGCCAGGACACAACACTTTAAATCACCAATAGTTTGTGCTCAATACAAACTGCAGCTTGTTAGTTTATTTGTCTAAAAAATATTTCAAAGATTCATGTGGCCGTTAAGTACTTTACTATTCAGTAATTAGGGAGAAGATAGATGATAGATAGGTAGAGAGAGAGAGAGAGAGAGAGAGAGACAGAGAGATCTAAAAGGAGTAATGGTATATAGCCTCACAGGCTGGCAGAAAATAATGTGTCAGAATGTGAGGTCATTCACAAGTGCAATGCCATCAACAAGAATGCTTTCGTGTCTTCACATTATGGAGAGTGTCTCTAATGCTGTCGTCCGCCTGAAGGTGAAACCCTCAGCCTTTTATTTTTCAGAGAAAAGAGTGCAGAAATGGAAATTGTAATATTGACAGCTTGGCTCTATGTCAGTTGGGCATACAGATGGATATCTGTGCCCATAGTGAGAAGTCAGTTTCTTTGACATGTTATCTTTTGGTCTGAGCCATTGCCATACCATACCTTGAGGACCTCTTCCTTGCTCTTTCTGAAGACAGGACTCTGTCCCCTACTTTTTCTTCCCCACAGTGGTAGAAGCTGTTTATGGTACCCCTGTGTTCCATCCTCTTACTCTAGCTGAGGTCTGTTACCTGCTGGTTTAGGCCTACTCTCTCCAGGCTGGCACTCAAAGCCATTATTGATGGGCGCTTTCCTGCACTTCCTCCTCCTCCTACGTTGCTGCAGCGTTTCTATTCTGGAGCTGTATTTTCCATTCACCTTCTGACCTTTATGCCACTGGAGAGTTTGATTATCTCCTTTTCCCTATCAGGCCTTCTGCTCTTTCTCTGTGATTCAGTCAGATAGACCTAGGTTGGATCCTGATTCTAGGCCTATCCCACTCCACTGTTACCCCGAGGGAGCTCTGTCTTTGTGTCTTCTTTCACGGCTCTCTGAGCTATGACATTCTGCTGTCCTTCTTTATTCTCCTGGCATTCTGCAACCACATAGTAATACACTATTAACCTGACTACGATCCGGTTATTTCCCAGTAGTCTCCGTAACTTCTATCTCCTTTTCTCCCAATTAAACAGTGCCAGGGCTGCTTTCTGCCTCCCTGACAGCTCATATTGCAGGAAGTACATTAAGTATATAGCAAAAGCCGGGTGTGGTGGCACACCTTTAATCCCAGCACTCAGGAGGCAGAGGCAGGTGGATCTCTGTGAGTTCAAGGCCAGCCTGGTCTACATAGTGAGTTCCAGAACAGCTGGGGCTATAGGGAGACCCTGTCTCAAAAAGGCCAAAAAAATAAATAAATAAATAAAGTATATAACAAAGTGATTAACAAAAGAATTAAAGAAGGCACCTTGGTTGTTGTGTATAAACTGTCAGGATGATAGTATTTTCTCAGTGTTATTTATTTAGATAGAGTCTTATTAAGCAGCCCAGGCTAGTTTTGAGCTCATAAAAGTCCTTCTGCCTCAGCCTCCCAAGTTCTGGGATTCTAAGCATGTACCACCATGCCTAGCATTAAGACCCATTTCCTAAGGGCAATTATAGTTGTTTAAAATAAAAATAGGCCTAGGGTAAAGTCTAGCCAAATCAATTAGAATTGTCTTGGATGCTGAAGCTGCAAATGTGCCCTGAATATAAATTCTCCATCTCCATTGTGTCTGAAGGACTCAGGGACTATGCAGCAGGCCAAACCTTTAAAACATAATGAGAATTTAAAGGGACACGGTTCTCCTTAATAGCCAACTGTGGCAGTTGGAACCATTGTAGGATAGTAACCCTAAGATGTTTGCACGATGGCTACAGGAAGTGGAAATGAAAATTGCATGCCCACATGGAGCATAGGCAGAACCAGAACTTTGTCACCTTAAGAGCACAGAAACCTCGTTACATTGCAGTCAGAAAATAAACAGCAACCTGTTAGCACCTACTGAATTTAGGACCTATCTAATGTAACTCTAATTGTAACTCTAGGAAGTCACTGCCTGCAGTTAGCCCCTTTTGTGCATGGGAACTAAGATCCTGAGCGACCCCATAGTCTGTGAAGAGTGGAGGTCAGCTCTGTCCCCTCTCCTGTCAGGCCAGCCTGAAAATCTGTTGTGTAGCAAGGCCTGCACTTCCTGTCTCAGCTGCTCCCTCTGGAGAACGCAAAGAAATGAGAGCAATGGATTTTCCAATAATATCACTTCATTTGCCATGGAACTGATTGTTTTGAAGGTCTCATAGCTTCCTATGGATGTTGCCCCACCTGCGGGAACATGCTCCAGTTTCCTCATTAGGAAATGGAATTAACAGCAGAGCCCATACCTCAGGGTGGTCGGCAGGAATGAATGAGTTAACAGATGGAGGACATTGTAAACATCATCTATTCTTCAAGTCTTCCTGATTTTCATAATTATCATTAAAATGTTTATATATATATATATATATACATATATGTGTGAGCATTTTATCTGTATGCATGTAAGTGCACCGAGGCATGCAATCCTCTTGCCACAGACTCCTGAGAACTGGGATTCCAGGCATGCACCACCATGCCCAGTTTAAAAGCTGGTATTGTTATTAGGCTTGTCATTGCTGCCTCCAGGAGTAAGTCCTTGTTTTATTCATAGTGGAACATCTTAGTTTTCATGACTGCTCAGATCAAATAAAAGGTCTATACTCCATAGTCTGCTGTGTTCCTATTGAACTGCATCACGTTTAGCTTGGGAGCCTCCGGTTGTCATAAAGAAGAGGAAACTGAGCTGTTTCTTTAATGCTCCTTTGTGGGGGAATGACTTTTCCACAAGGTGACACCTTGAATAGTTGAACCTATAACTCTATCTGCCACCAACAGATAGGACTTGGGTTTGAGGGACATTAAGACTTTTCTACACAGAGGTGCCTTCAGCAATGGGTCTTTCTGGGTCTGAATTTTTCTGAGGTGATCACATGTGGTAGGTAATGGATTGAGTGCCACTGTGTTTACTGCTCTGGAATCTTATTTTTATGACCACACCTGACATCAGGACTTTCCTACCTCTATTTTTAAAATGTCACCCAGCATGAGGCTCAGTAGTGGCTTAGGAGACGGCCTTGAGGGGATTTAGCCTATAACATGACTCCATACACCCATCAATGACTCCAAGAGAGGCACAATGGGGAATTTAAGGAGAAAAGCACTGGCATTTCAAATCACTTTTAAAATAATATCTTTTTGGCCTGTGCTAAACTACTTAAATATCTTCAATTTGAGTGGAGCTTTCCCACTGCTCTCCCCTACCTGTGTCATTCCTACCTGCATTTCATTATCTTTTTAAATTTTTTATTTATTATTTTTATTCAGTGGAGGTCAGAAGAGGGCATCAGACTCCCCGGGAACTGGAGTTACAGATAGTTGATAGCTGCCATGTGGCTGCTGGGAATTGAACCCAGGTCCTCTGCAAGAATAGCCAGTGATCTTAACCACTGAGCCATGCCACAGACTCCTGAGAACTGGGATTCCAGGCATGCACCACCATGCCCAGTTTAAAAGCTGGTATTGTTATTAGGCTTGTCAT